GTTGAATTACCTGATTATATCAAGCCAGCTGCTGCTTTCTAAAAGAGAAAACCATTTTATATCTGTGTCCCAAAACTCCGAACTATTATCTGAAAACAGGAAAAAGAGGAAAGACATCAGGCTGTTGTTCACTGACACACTTGCCACCACACACGCATCCAAAAAAAAAAAAAAAGGGTTGAATTACCTGATTATATCAAGCCAGCTGCTGCTTTCTAAAAGAGAAAACCATTTTATATCTGTGTCCCAAAACTCCGAACTATTATCTGAAAACAGGAAAAAGAGGAAAGACATCAGGCTGTTGTTCACTGACACACTTGCCACCAAACACGCATGTTGCTCCTGAGTAGCTCAGAGGTCCCCAACATCTGGGAAGAGCCCGGCTAAGACTCTGTTTTAGATAAAGGGTTTTGAACTGTAGGCCTCTAGAAGGGTTTAGCAGTCAAAGAGAGGTCTTCACTGATGAAACAAGAAAAACCCGCAACACATCCACAAAAGTCTACCCTGCCATTCACAGACAGAGTGACAGAAATAAGATATATCCTAGAATGGAAGCCAAGGGGTGAGACTTGATTTGCTAGTTTGTTTTTGTTTTCCTTGTTCTTTTTTGTGTCGGTCTTATTATATATCCTGTCTCAGCCTCCTGCTTGATTACAGTCATGTGCCACCATGCCTGGCTCTGTTAGAATCATAAACATACAAGTCTGTACACCTTGCTCATCACTACAGGATTCTTCTTACTACATCTAATAAAACAGAGTATCTCCAATTTTACAGAAACCTAATACAGTTTAAAAGCTGCAAAGAAGCCAGATCTAGTGGTGCACATCTGTAGTCCCAGCTACTTGGGAAGCTTAGATGGGAGGACTGCTTGACACCAGGAGTTTCAGATCATTCTGAGCAACAGTGAGACTCCATTTCAAAAGAAAAAAGGGGGCGGGGAGACTAGGATCAATCAATTAAAAAAGGAAAACAACCCAGATGAGTGAATGAAATAAAACACAACTATAGAATCACAGTCCTGGGTCAAATAGTAAAGTTAGCCCTCTTGTAGTTCCTACTTCTTCCAAATCTATTTTATAACACGTATCACATTTTAAAGGTATACAACTGTTTCCCTTATGAGAACATAGCTTTTTGTGTCAGTCATCTTTATCACCAATGTCTAGCATCGTGTATGTAATGAAAATTCAATAAATATCAGAACAAATCCTGAAAGAATAAGAATGTGCAAGGCTAAAGGTCAAAATTAGGAAAAGTTATCTATAAGCATGACGAAGCTCAGAGTGAAAATTCACTCCAGAATGGAGAGACTCAATAGGACACCATGTGCAAGGAAGCAAGGAGTTTCAAACTGTTACTAGTAAGTTGTGAGGGCAGACAAATGGGGAGTGGGGAATGGAGTGGTTGGGAAACTGTACATACCTAACCAGGGGTTTAAAAACATTAAGGCATTTTCACTTTGGGAAAAAAAGTTCACCAAGGAAAGCCTACAAACCATTATAAATGATCATGAAAGTCAGTGGGTCTGGGTACTGCACAGTTCAAAAGCTTGAGAGTTAAGCCAAAATGCTGACCACAGGGCAGCCTGGTATGCTGGGAACAAAGAAGAGGAGGACAGCTATGTGAGCATTGTGTAGGCCTGGAGAAAGAAAGACAGGCGCAGCACAGCAATGGCAACTGGCCCTGTGGCGCTCTGGCTACTAGCCCTTCCACTGCTTGACAGTGGCCCTCAAGGCTGTGAGCCCCTGAAGACCACCATAAGGAACTAAGGATAGAGGCACCAACTTTCACATGATCCACAAGGCATCTCTTTCTCCATGTGACAGAAAGATTTTGCTCAGCATTCTTCTCACCTATCAGAAACAGCTGCTTAAATTTACAGTATGCACTCTGGATTTCCTGCAGGGATAGGAAGTTACATGATAAATCTTCAGTTTTAACAATTTCATAGGGTGGCCTGTGGATGATCTTGTAGATTCTAGGTATCAAAAAACAACAAGATTAAAAGAGTAAACATGAATTTAATGTAGCTATTTCTACTAAGCACTTACTATGAGCCACAGTCTGTGTCAAGAGCTCCGAAATTATCACCTCATCTAACCCCCACCCATGACAGGCAACAGATGTGGGAATGGAGACCAGGGAGCAGAACTGCCCAGCCCAAGGTCACCAAGTTCCTTTCTAAACTGATAAGAGCTATGATTTGGAAAAAAGTAACTTAATTACATAACCTACTCCTTTTGTTGTTTTTAACTTATTTACTTTGGCTTTATGAAATTTATTCTGAGAAATTTCTACCATATGTAAAAGTAGAAAAGAGCAGCACAGTGATGTCTACTATGAGCTACATTTGACAGCTGGTAACATTACAGTCATCATGCTACTCCCCCTCACCTTCGGAATGCATCTCTAAAAACAGTGCAGTCTACCTTGCTTTGCTAACTCTCTTCAAGGTAATTAAAAGTGAGTGCTATAACTTGTATTGCTCTAACACAAAGCTACCAGGTAAGCAGAAAAGAACACACTAGTAAGAACTATTCCTTGTTACTTATAAAAACAAGCACCGAGGTGCTGGAGAGGTGGATCAGCGGTGAAGAACACTGGCTGCTCTTGCAGAGGACCCCAGCACCGACATGGTGGATAACAACCACTGGTAACTCCAGTTCCAGGGGATCTGACACCCTCTTCTGACCTCCATGGGCACTGCATGACATGGGTATACTTACATACATGCAGGCAATACACTCATACACATAAAATAAAAATAATAAATTAAAAAAAACAAGAACTGAACTAAACAAGAACAAAAAAGTAGAGTGAGTACTGACCCATCCAAGAAGTTCTTCTGGATTTGCAAAACACCATCATCCTGTTCTTTGGGTAGTGCTGACATTTTCAAAAGGGCACTTCCATTGTGGTAGGACCAACACCAAATCTACAGCAGGGAAAAAAAAACCTTTGTCAGGTGAAATATTCACAGCCCAACAGGGAGCAGTAAGCTTAGTATTTACACTCAGACAGGGAAGTTTATAACTTCAATGTGAAATGGCTGGGTGCAGTCACTTTGATTAAGCCAGAGAGGATTTACTCAGCGAAAAAGACTGACTTGGTCTGAAAAAAACAAAAGAAAACAAAACAGAACTAGGTAGTCAGATTCAGACTGGTCTAACATTCGCCCTTTAAGTTGGTTTTAGAGCTGGTAACTTAGATGATGACAACAGCAACATTTCTGTTCTTAGTACCAGGATAGCAATGATCACTGGAATGCAGCTTACACGCCAGGCATTTATGAAGTAACTCAAATACTCAGTCACTTCGTGTGACAGGTATGATTTTTAGCCCCATTCACAGTAAAGAACTGCAGCTCAGGGAGACCAAAGGACTTTCCCCAGACGTAGAGACGGTAGCTACCATATGTCTCTACCAGCCACGGCCACGCTCTACCTGGTGGCGAACAGGACAGCTCAGCTCCCACTAGCAGAGAGTGCCGGGCAGAAAGAGGTCGAATTGACTATCGGACACAGTGCCTCTGAGACTCGCAGATGGAAGGCACTGACTAGGCTGTGAGGAGAGAGATGACCAAGATACTGTTTTACTTTCACATCTTCTACTCTCAAAATATAACAGAAAAAAGCCAGGTATGGGGCACATGCCTTTAATCCCAGCACTCAGGAGGCAGAGGCAGGTGGATCTCTGTGAGATTGAGGTCAGCCTGATCTGCAGAGTGAGTTCCAGGCTAGCTGGGGCTACTGGGAGACCCTGCCTCAAAAAAAGATTTAAATACAAGATAGAATGTGGAAAACAGCTTGGGTGTCTGGATTTTTTTTTTTCTTCTTTAGGTATGGCTTTTGTTTACTTTTATAGGCATCAAAATAGATTAGAACTGATCTTAGGGCAAAGTAACCTGCCACTGTGCCTTGGCTAGATAGGTAAGTACAGCTGTAACCTATGTGTTACAGCTATGTCTGGTCTGAGAGTTCTGTAGAGGCTAATGTCCAGCCCTTGCTCTGCTGACCATGTTGTCAACCTTGGCTCAAGGTATTGTCTGGGGAAAGAGATGCTTTTTGTAGGGATCAGCAAAATGGCTCAGTAGGTCAAGGCACTTGCCACCATATCTGACCACCTGAGTTTAAGTCTCAGAACCCACATGATGGAGAGAACCAACTCCTGCAAATGGATCTTTGACCTTTGCATACACACACACACACACACACACACACACACACACACACACACAAATAAATGCCTCTGCACTGGACACCACTTCGACATCCAACTGCCATGGATAAACTATGCCTTGGGTAAGTGAGCAGCAGCCTCGACAGGAGCCACAGACCTGCACAGCAACCCAGGAGATGCACTGCATTTAGAGAATATAAAGAGGAACTGATTTGGGGTTCCGGGGAAGGTGATGGAATCAGCACTGAATACATTGGTACCTAGTGCCACCAGGACATCACTGGGGAGATACCCAAGAGACCTCTGACATGAGCCATCAATGCAGAAGAGAGTTGCAGCTCTGGATGTCGCAACTGGTATCAGCTGACAATGAGCCTCCTGAAGAATGAGGACAGAGTGGCAGTGGACTGCTCTAGCAACTGAAACAAAGAGAGCAGACCCCTTCTTGGAGCCAAGTTATACTTTATGATTCATACGAGGCAGCAGTATCAGAACAGGGACAAATGGAAGGGCCCTTAGCGTCTTATTCCCCTTTCCAATGTCATATGAAGCAAAGTGTGGAAACCACCCCACAGTTCTGTATCTTCTGCCAAAGGTGGTAGTATTTGTGCCTGCTTAAGCAGTCATGCCTACTAGCTGCTGCAGCTCACTTCAATATAGAGGGGGATAGTCTTGTCAAAAACAGGCAACAGGATCCAAGACATTAAGTTTTCCTAACCATCTTCAACTCCTTATTTGGGACAAAATGATAGCCTTTGGGGGATATCCAGTTGTATCTTATTTTCCAGTTGGGGTACATGTAGCAACAACTTTTAATCAGAATTGTCTCATCTGGGGCACAAAAGGATAACTAATTCCCTTACTATTCTTAGTAAGTAAACCGTAAGTCAATACAAGCAACTTAGCAAGAAATCATGTCCTGTTATGAAAGTATATGCAAGCCGGGAAAGGGCTACAAAGTTCTTAGTATGTATTATTATTTAGCAACAGACATGAAACACAGTTTAATCAAGCACACTTATTTTATTAAGGGAGACTTAGCTTTTAGTGCACTTAACACAAAGACAGAGCTTTTGGGAACATCTATAATTGGCAGCAAGAAAGTAGTGTAATAAGGAAAGGAATGGAACCATTAAGGCAGTAAGAAGACCAAGACAGTAGTGTTTTCAAAACCAAACCAGGAATTTAAGAATACAGTCTGGGGCCAACAAAATGGTTCAGTGGGTAAATGTGCTTTATGTAACAGCCTGGTGACTTGAGTTTGATCCCCAGAACCCATAGTGTAAGAAAACAAATTCCCAAAAGTTGTCCTCTGACCTTCACACACATGGCATAGCATGCATGTACACTTATACACACACAGAGAAAAGAAGAATCTTAAATAATAAAGACACAGATACACAGTTTTTGGTGGTGTTTGGGGATTGAACCCAGGTTCTGGAACATGTCAAGTAAGTGTTCTACCACTGAATTACATCCTCAGACCCATACAAAGAACTTAAAGGACACAATCAGTGTCAAAAAACTAGAGCAATGTTATGGGGAACTGGGGCTGCACATAGCTCAGTGGCTTCTAGAAAGTAATGCCTATAGAGGAAAGGGAGTATAAGATACATTGCAAGAAAATTCAGGGGCTGGAGATGCAGCTCTGTGAAGCCCTAGGTTTGATCCCCTGAGAGGAGAAGCTGACAGAGCCAGGCTCAAACAAAGCAATTCAGAGTCTAATTCTGTCTGAAGGTAGCAGGAGGTTGAGAAGGAAGCTGAGAGAATTCTGTGGCTGTCCTAGACCCCAGGACATAGGGGAAAGGGCACAGTTAAGTGTGGAAGATTTGAGTGGTTCTACTACCACTCTGGTGGCACATCGTAATCTCAACACTTGGGAGAATGAGGTAGGAGGATTCCAGGTTGGAAGCTAGCCTGGGCTACATAGTGAGATCCTATTTGAAGCAACAACAAAAAGATTTTACTAACTTAAGATAATGAAAACATGCTCACTCGAGGAAGGATGATATAGGAATCAAGGGTTAAAAAGAGGATTGCTGAGGGCTTGGGAGATGGCTCAGCAGTCAAAAGTACATGCCGTGCAAGCACGAGGATCAGAGTCCAGATACCCTGAAACCTATGTAAATGCCAGGTGGGCATGGCAGCTGCCTGTCCAAATCCAGCCTTGGAAGGTGGAGACAAGCTCTTCAGAGCAAGCTGGCTAGCAAGACTGGCCACACTAATGAGCTCTGGGTTTGACAGACACCCTGCCTCAATGAATACACACACGTACGCCATACACACAAATGTGAAAAATGGAAAAAATTAAGAAAGAAAAGACTGCTGAAGTAAGAAAATGTACAGTTTTCAAGGGTCCCATTACATACTGTCTGCTCTTTGGTCTGAATAACCTACTGCCAAATTCACTGTCTCTGGAGCAAAAAAGGGAGACTAGCAGAGGGAGAAGCAGGCAAAAGTCTCTAGTGTGGACACAGGAATCTGCCTTTACTGATAAATTGGACAAGTGAACTGCAGAGAACTAAGTGAAGACAGAAAGTAGCAAATGGGGTAATAGTTCAGTGACAGAGCCCCTGCCAGCAGCACCAGCCCCTGGGTGTGATACCCAGCACCAAGCAAAGAGAGAGAGAAGGGTTAGGGCAGGGAGGGAGGAAACAGACTGGCTGCTCTGTTCCCGGGATAGATGAGTAACTTTCATCTTGTGTAATATCTTACTGATGTCTATGCAAACCCCTAAAGACTTTTAGAACATATAACTAGCAGATCTAAGGAAGGAAGAACACCTTTCCACACCTATCAAAATGTTGCTGGGTCTTCACTCAGCTCTTAGAACATTTTCTATGTCTCAGCCCCAAAGGCATGGCTAGAACATGGTGTTATCTAAATTTTACATACTGCAGGAATAGAGAAGCAGTATATTCCCACATAAGTGAATAAACTCACTTTTGAGTCTTCCCACAGATCATCCCACACCCTTTTTTCTAGAGTCCTCCAGGAAACGCTGAAGGATGGATTCTTTTCATTCCTCTCAAGTACTGATTTTCAAAACATACTACACACTGCACTGGGAGGTCCTAAGACCCTCTCAGGTGCTCTGCAAGGCCACAGCTATTTTCACAATAGCACTAATACCTAGTGTCTTTCCCACTGTGAGGATATCCACACTGGTGGCCCAAGATCAGTGGTGGGTAACAGCACCAATCATGGCAGACCTACACAACTATGCAGGTTATAACTACATCACTACTAACAGGAAGGAAAAAAAAACCAAAAACAAAAACAACTGATTCACTTGAGAATGTCCATAACAAAGGATTAAAAATGATGAGTCTGTTAATCTTGACTACTATGTCATATAAATGGTCTGTTGAGAGCTGCCTTTAGCATGTAAACTGTGGGTATTCAGACTTTGGTATCTGACAGATATTCATTCTAAAAAAAAAAAGTGACTAAAGTGAGTTTATCATTTCACAGGAAACAATTTATAAACTGTTGCCAATGATTAAAAAATTAAGCACACACACACACACACACACAAAATTAAGCACAAAAGAACCCGGGTAGCCAAATCAACCCTGAGCACAAACAGCAATGCTGGGGGGATTACTATACCAGATTTCAATCTGTAATAGTAAGAGCTATCTATAGTCAAAAAAACAGCATAGTACTGGCATAAAAACAGATACATAGATCAATAGAACATAATTGAAGACCCAAACATGAGTACATGCAATTTCAGCCACCTGATAAATGACAAAGGGGCCAGGAACATTCACTGAAGGAAAGACAGCATCTTAAGCAAATGGTGCTGGCAAAACTGGATCTGCACACGTAGAAGGAGGAAACTACACTCTTTCACCCTGCACAAAAGTCACCTCCAAATGGATCAAAGACCTCAATGTGAAGCCTGAAATTCTGAAACAGAAGAAAAGACTGGCAATAACCTATAAGATATAGGTGTAGGAAAGGACTTTCTAAATCGGGACATCAGTTGCTCAGGAATTAAGGTCAAGAATCAACAAGTAGGATCTCATTAAACTAAAAAGCTGTACATCAAAAGAAACAACCAAGGAAGTGAAGAGAAAACCCATAGAGTGGGAGAAAATCTTCAACAGTGACACATCTGACAGAGGTTTAATATCCAGACTATATAAAGAACTCAAAAAACAAAGAATCAAGAAAGCAAGTGACCCAATTAAAAGATGGGCTAAGTTTCTAAACAGAGAGTTCTCAAAGGAAAAATAAAGATGGCCAAGAAACATCTTAAAGTGTTCAACATCGTTAGTAACTAGGAAAATGCAAATTAAAACCACTTTAAGATTTCATTTTATTCCAGTCAGACTGGCTAAGATCAAGAGAACAAATGATAACAAATGCTGGAGTGGATGTGGAGAAAGGGGAATGCTCATTCACTGCTGGTGGGACTGTCTCAAAAAGAACAAACAAACAAAAAAAAGCAGGCTGAGCAGGGGCCAGGGGAGAAAGCCAATAAGCAGTGTTCCTCTGTGGCCTTTTTAAGACAGGGTTTCCCTGCAGCCCTAGCTGGCCTGGAACTTGCTATGTAGACCAGGCTGACCTTGAACTCATAGAGATCAGCCTGCCTCTGCCTGGATTAAAGCCATGTGCCAACACACCTGGCTAGTATGGAGAACTCTTAAAAATCTAAAAATGAGCCTACCATTTGACCTGGTTATACCACTCTGGCATATACCCAAAAAGACTCATTCTATTGCAGAGATACTTATACATCTATGTTTGCTACTGCTCTTTTCACAATAGCTAAGAGATGGAAGCAACCTAAGTGTACCTCAATTGACAAATGGATAAGTGCTGGGATTAAAGGTGTGCACCACCATGCCCGACTAAATTCTTCTATATAATTTAATCACTTAATTTATTAAGTGATAAAATCACTTAATAAATTGAGATTTGGGGGTTTTGCCTTCAGGCAAAAAGGCTAAGTGATTAGACTAACCAGCTAAGACCTTTGTCTTCAAAAAGTCTGTTTAGTTGGGTCTGTTTAGTCAGGTGTGGTCTCTCACACCTTTAATCCTAGCACACAGAAGGCAGAAGCAAGCAGATCTCTGTGAGTTCAAAGCCAGCCTGGTCTACATAGTTGAGTTCCAGGCCAGCTGAGGCTACAGGGAGACCCTGTCTCAAAAAGACCAAAAAAATAAATAAATAAATAAAATTAGATTTGAAATGTTCTGCATGAAATACACAAAAATTCAATAAAAAATAAAAAATTAAGCTTTAAAGCAAAATTAGGAGTAGAAAACAAGTATCTGCCATATTATCTAAGTAGCCCCCTAATATGTGAAGACTTTTCTGATAAGATGATGGAATTTATGAATGTGTCAATATTTAGGGGTATAAACTGGAACCAATATTTTCTAACTTTGTAGTACTACAAAATGTGTAATAGTATATGCATGTTCAAATTTCATTCAGACCAGTAGACTTCAATGTAAAAGAGAACAAAAAGTTCATTGTGTTTTCTAATTCCCTACTGCAGCTAACTCTTATGAAACCATCATGTATCATGTTTTGGTATACCACCAAATAATATTCTCAGTTAGGCTAGCTATTCCTTCCTTTCCCAAATGCAAATGTACGAAGCTCAGTTTTCTCTGTGTATTTTACCCAGTGCCCATAATACCAAAAAAGAATGAATAAAAGACTCAAAATCCAGCTGTCTTCTATTTTCAAAATATAAAACAGCCCTATTCTATTGTTTTGAATGGTTATTTTTCATAGAAGTATGTCATTTATGCTAATACATTACTTACATTTTTCTTTAAAATTCAGTTTGAAAAAAAAAATTTGAGAGTCTCACTCTGTCACTTATTATGTAGCCCAGGCTGGCCTAAAAATAATAGCAATCCTCCTGTCTCAGTCTCCAGGGAGCTGGGATTATAGGTGAGCTACCACAACCAGTTTCAATTTGGATTTCTAATATGACAAATACCAATAGACACAATCCACATAAACAAAACTCTTTAAGAGTCAATAAATTTTAAGAGCGTAAAGGGTCAGTATGGGAACTGCTGCTGTAATATAAATCAGTTAGACACCACAGACACATTAAAAAATCTGAATCAGCTGTGCATATTTGGAGATTAGGAAAACTCATGTAGAATCTGTATCTCTGGCCTCCCCTGAAAAATCCAGTCATCCGGCAACACTCAATCCAGATTCCCACATGTCTGGTGCTGAAGGGCTGGCCTCCTAAGTCAGGCAGAGGGACTCCACTCCCCTGCAAGAGTCATGCTCATCATCTGCTCGGCTTCCAATTGCTCTAGTGCTTCTCCATCTTGCCTCACATTCAGGAATGACTCTTTTGGTGAACTAGTCATGTGCCGCACAACATTTATTTATAATTCTGCATTCCTTGCTCAAACCCCGGCAGGCTTACAACTCCCAGCCAACAATTAGAAATAGGAGTGTCTGCCAGTCTTGCTTTCTTTGATCAGTGACACATTAAATATGGCTCCCATCCCATCCTATTCTGTGAAAACTAAGATGTGCTTCATGTTGTCTCTGGCAGAAAACATGGCATGCCCATACCAAGATTAATAGAACTGGCCAAAAAGAATCTTAAATCCCACTAGGCTTAGAGTGGTCAGCACAGTCCAAAATGATTTAGGTGTTACAAAAGCTTGCTTTCAACAGTAGGCAGATCTGTAATCCTCTTAAAATTCTATGTCTCTGCTGAAAATTCAAGTGCATTTATGACAACTTTAGACTTGTCCTCATGTTTAGGAGACCCCTCTAGGGAGTCCCTGTGGTATTTTTGGATTAGCCTTGGACTATGGACAAACTCCTGAGTACCAAAGTCAAGAACTTTAAGTAGGACCATTTTGGTAGGATGGGCCAGAGAGCAGCTGAAGCCTTCTAGGGTTTCTAGATGCACTTACTGGTATGCCGTGGCCCTGAAAGCGCTGCACATCCTCTTCAGGAAGAGGGGTGGGGACAACAAAGTATGCTGGCAATCTAGAAGAAAGAGATGGCATCAGGTTTTAGACCTACACTAAATTCAAAAAATATGAAAGCTCATGTCAGTGAATACAAAGAAACTAAACAAAGTGTTACAAAAAGAACTGTATTTGCCTATTAAGAACCAGCTTGAATGAACTGCCATTCTCAGTTTAGTGAAAAGTATTCAGACCAAGTACATTAGGAATCTGAATTCAAATCCTAGCTCTGCACAACCCCTGATAAGTTGCTTTACCTTTCTGGGTCTGCTTCCTTGCCTGTAAAATGAGGGGATTGGGACTGGAGAGAGAGCTCAGGGGTTAAGAGCACTGGCTGCTCTTGCAGAGGACTTCAGTTCAGTTCCCAGCACCAGAATGGCAGCTAACAATCCTCTGTTACTCCAGTTCCAGGGGCTAGTTCTAACGCCCTCTTCTGCCCTCTGTGGGCATTGAACAACACAAATGCACTTACATACATGCAAGTAGTACACTCATATACATAAAATAACAAAATTTTTTCAAAAAAAATTTTTTTTTTGGTCTTTTTGAGACAGATCTCCCTGTAGCCGTAGCTGGCCTGAACTCACAGAGATCCACTTGCCTCTGCCTCTTGAGTACTGGGATTAAAGGTATGTGCCACAACACCCGACAAAATAAAATATTTGGGAAATAGGGCAGTATAGCTCAGTGGCAGAATTCTTGCTCGGCATGTACAAGGCCCTGGATTTGATCCTCAGCACCACAAAATGGGAGAGGATTGTCTAAAAGTATATGAATTCCAAAATTGGGAATTACCTTTCTCACTAAACAGCAACAACATAAGCACCTGTGTTGCTTTCAGTTGAACTAGCATGAAGGGCAGCACTGATGATGACTGCTGCTCATTTTACTAAATGCTCTGACAACAAGCATTTGGGGGCTACTTTGTGGCAGACAATGTACTAATACTTCACAAATGACTCACTTAATCCAACACCCCTCTCAGGTATATAGTATGATTATTTCTATTTTACAGATAAAGAAACAAATACAACACAGGCTCTTCCCACTTTATATCAATAGTAAACATACAACAGAGCTAGGAACTGGACCCATTGTGATTTCCTTATCTACAGAAGAAAATTCTACTCCAAAAGAGTAAGCCTGTTAAATAATAGGGCATGGGAAAGTTAGATTTTCCAAACTGGACTAGAAAATATATGGGGACCATGGTTCTTAGTCAACAGGATACAGGTTTCTTTTAATAAGAAAACTGCCAGGGCTGGAGAGATGGCTCAGTAGTTAAGAGCACTGGCTGCTCTTGCAGGAGACCTGGGTCTGAATCCTGGCATTCACAACCATTTGTAATTCCAGTTCCAGGAGATCCAATGCCCTCTTCTGCACTTACATGCATACAGGCATAACACTCATATACACATAAAATAAATGATGTGGGGTTTTTTTGGTTTTTTTTTTTTGGTCTTTTTGGGACAGGGTCTCTTGCAGCCCCACCTGGCCTGGAACTCATTATATAGACCAGGCTGGCCTTGAACTCTAAGAAATCTGCCTGCCTCTACCTCCCGGGTGCTGGGATTAAAGGCTTGTGCCACCACGCCCAGCTGAAAAATAAAGTTTAAGGAAATAAAAAAAAAAGAAAACTTCGTAAGAGTCCCCCATTTGGGGGCTGGAGAAATGGCTCAGTGGTTAAGAGAACTGGCTGCTCTTACAGAGGACCTGGATTTGAATTCCAGCACCCACATGGTGGCTAACAACTATTCTTAACTCCAGCGGGATCCGACACTCTCCTCTGATCTCTGAGGGCATTGCATGACATGGGTGCACTTACATGCATGCATTTAATACACTGAGACACATAAAATAAACATAATAAATAAAAATTTTAAAAAAAGCTCCTCATTTGGAGCTGTAAATATCTCTCCCTCCAAAGAGTTTGAGATAAAAGCCTGAAAGATGCCTGGGATTCTAATTTGTGATGGAAAATATCAGATGGTGGTGTATGCATGTTACAGCTTGACCTCAATCTGTCAAGCACCAGGTCATGGGAAAGAGTTTCAAAGTCAAAGAGATCAGAACTCAAATGTGACTGAGCCATTAATCAACTCACAGGAGGTGGAACAACAAATTAAATATCACTAGGGGATGTGATCATCAAAATCAACTGTGGGAAACTATTAAGCAAATAGTTTGATTTCTTTCAGCAAACTGAAGGAAAAATACGATGGTATGAGAATCTACAGATAAAGCAACTTAAGAAACCTATCAATGAATGGCAAAATAATAATCTAATTCAGTCTTTATTAACCTTAAGATTAAAAAGATGAAAGAGAAATCTTTAAAACCTTTAGAGAACAGTGGGGAGTCAAGCATTGGGGAGCTGTGATGGTCAATCTTGGTTGTCAACTTAACTGGATCTGGAATCAATAAAGTGTAAGTAAGCTGCTGGGTATTCCTGTAAGGAATTTTCTTGATCAGATTATCTGAAGCTGGAAGACCCACCTTAAATGTGGGTGGCACCTTCTGGACATGGAAGAAGAAAACTTTGCTTTTTTGCCTGTTTGCCTTCACTCTCACTGACTGAAAAACAACAGCTCTTCAGAAATACTCCAGGCCTTCAGCTCCAGATTGGGACTGACCAACTAGCAGATTCTTAGCCTTACCAGTGTGGCACAGCCGAGGCAGGAGGATCACCAAGGGTTCAAGGCCAGCCTATGATGCACGGTGAAACCCAGTCTCAACTCTATTCCCTAGTCCAAAACAAAACAAGCCTCCCCAACAAAATCAAACCACAAGGAAATTTTGAATATTAATTAGGTATCAAAGAACTAGCATAGGTTTGAAGGTATAAGAAGTTTTATTTTATTTTATTGATTTACTTATTCACTTATTTTTGTCTTTTTAAGACAGAGTCTCCCTGTAGCCCCAGTTGGACTAGAACTCACTATGTAGACTAGGTTGACCTCAATCTCACAAAGATCCACCTGCCTCTGGCCTCCCAGTGCTGGGATTAAAGGCTTGAACCTCAGGTCCAGCTGTGATAACAGTTTTATGATATATTTATTAAAAACAATTCTAGCCCCTTGTTCTTGGCAATATATATTGAACATAAATGAAATGTGTTGATCTCTGAAATTTATTCCCAAGCAACCCAAAGGGGAGGGGTAGGGAAAATAAGACCAGCTATGGATTAATCATTGTTATATCTGGGTAATGGACATAACATTTTTTCTATACTGCTTCAACATTTGTATTAAATAACCCTTAAAGATAATTTTAAACATTTTTATTTTTATTTATATGTATGTACATGTGTCTATTAGTGTATGCTATGTATGTACAGGTGCTGCAGAGGCCAGAAGGGGGCGTCAGATCCCCTAGGCTAGAGTTACAGGCCGCTGTAAGCTGTCTGATGTGGGTGCTGGAAAAAAGAACTTGGGTCATCCTCTGGAAGAGCAGAATTAACTGCTGAGCCATCTCTCTTACAGATAATTTTTAAAGACAAAGATCCTTAAGACTATGATATAAACCCAGATTTGTGAATCACTGGTCATGACTATGGCACCTTAAATCACCAAAAAATGTCAAGACATGGGGGCTGGAGAGATGGCTCAGCGGTTAAGGACCTGGGTTCAATTCCCAGCACCCACATGGCAGCTATAGACCATCCTTAACTCTAGTTCTAGGGGAATCTATGGCACAACACAGGTGTACTCACATACATGCAGACAATACACTCGTACACATAAAATAAAAATAATAAAATATTTAAAGAAAAATGTCAAGCCGGGTATGGTGGCACACGCCTTTAATCCCAGCACTCAAGAGGCAGAGGCAGGCAGATCTCTGTGAGTTCAAGGCCAGCCTGGTCTACATAGTGAGTTCCAGGACAGCTGGGGCTACATGGAGACCCTGTCTCAAAAAGACGGAAAAAAAAAAAAAAATCAAGACCGGGTTGGAGAGGTGGCTCAGTGGTTAAGAGCACTGGCTGCTCTTGCAGAGGACCCAGTCTATTTCCAGCACCCACATGGCAGATAACAATCATCAGTAACTCCAGTTCCAAGGCATCTGACACCATCTTCTGTCCTCCATGGGTCCTGCATGACATGGGTGCACTTATATACATGCAGGCAATATACTCATACACATAAAATTAAAAATTTTTTAAATTTTTAACAAACTGTCAAGAGTGGCTTTTGAAGTTCTAAGGTGCTTACAGTATTTTCTTACATGTCTGCTTGAATGGGTGGGCAGTAAGCTAATCTTTCTTCAGGGATAGTCAACTCAAGTAAAAACTTCACAGATCAATGGCTCTTGAATGCTTAAGTTCAAATTGTCCATTAAAATCACAGGGGAAGAATAGAAAATTACCAATATCCATACTTAACACATATTTATAAATAAGAAGCTTAAAGGTTCCCCACAAACGCAGTCAGGATCAAAAGTGCTATTTCTGGAAGGTCATACTACTCTGAGTATGCCACAGCATCCCTGGAAGCTCAGGAGGAACACCCTGCCCCACCTGCTCAATGAGCACCTGCACTCCAACAAGATCCTTGGGTGACTGAGATGTACACTTAAATACACACTGACTAGACGGTACCTTCTACACAGGCCAGCTTTCAAAGGTCACCTGGGGAGTTCTCAGCTCCCCTCTTGGTAGCTCATACTATAAAGCTGCAGGGGGTCCCCTTGTTTTAAAAGCTTTACATGTCTTCCTCATCTAAGACTGAATATGTTACAATGTTAGTTCACTGATTAATATCATCTTATAAACAGCTGTTCACACACCAAATAAAACTTTAAAAGGTCAGAACCAAGTGCATTAGTGAATGTAGCCTTGTCCCTGAGCAGTGATGAGGAGCACCACACCCAGGGAGCAGTGTGGAGGGTGTCCTCGCCTGTCCCGACTAGCTCAGGTGGATCCCATGCAGGATCTGTTGAGACTATGAGCAATTAATCCTCCCTCTTCCAAAACAAGTCATTTTAGTCAGTAGGATGAGTTATGAGTTCAGACTAGAAAGCAAACCTTTCTAAACTCAGTACAACTTCAGTCATGGCAAGTTGGATGATCCACTCAAGCACAATGGTAGTTTGGGAAAGTTGGTAAGCCCAGAGCAGTGCTGTGTCTTCCTGTGCCAGTTAATTTATGGGTCCCTCTGTGCTGCACACACCCTACAGAGTTACACACTTTCTTATCTCTACAAGGTAGTGGGATGAGAGAAAGGCTTTTAGAATTCAGAAAGAGAAGAAATAGACCTGTAGCACCCAAGGAGGCAGCTGCAATCTCGAGGGAGGTGACAGACCCTAACAGGGCTTCATTCATTTATCTAGTTTCTCTTATTTTTTAGGCTCTTCTCAGAAGCCAGGCACTGTGCCTGGTACTGAGGATACAATGGGAAGCAAAAATAGTGAGTACTCCTGATTTCATAGAGCTGAAGGTTTCAGAAATAAGCATTAACTAAATGATGATCCAAAGACAAAGGAGCTCAGACCAAGCAGGATGTTCTCCAGGGAAGGAACGCAATGAGCACTCTGGGTGTTGGGAAAAGCCCGTAAAAAACAGACTGAGCTGAGATCCGATCAGTGAGGTAGAGATAACTACTGCAAAGGCTGCTTCAAGACAGGAGACTACTTGGCAGAGTCTGTGGCAGAGCAGTCAGCATAGATGGAGGAGAGTGACAGTGGGAGTTGGGCTTTGGAGTGATTTGGGCTGTCTACACTAAAACGCAGGGAAGCAGGGGCAGGTATGATCAGATACACATGGAAAAGCTCACTCTGCCTGCTGTACAGAGAACAGATGCTGGGGCTCCAGCATGGACAGGAAAGACCATGCAGCCAGTTACAGTTATAGTGCAGGGTTGAGACAAAGCACAGCCTTTCCTGTGTCATTCCCATAGCTGGCAGTCCCAAGTGATGTGTGTCAGCACTGAGCACCCTGGGTGTCAAAATCTGACTCATGCTCCATTCTCCCTATTTACCAGTACTCACAAGTTTCCTCTTTGACCTTTTAGTGTTTTTCGTTTTTTTTTTTTTTTTGAGACAGGGTCTCCTAGACACAGCTGGCCTGGATTCACTATGGAGACCAGGCTGGCCTTGAACTCACAGAGATCTGCCTGCCTCTGCTGGGATTAAAGGCATGTGCCACCACGCCTGGACATGTGTTTTTCATTTTGATTGCCTTTTTTTTCTGTTTTTCTATTGTTTGTGACAGTGTCTCATGTAGCCCAGGTTGGATTCAAACTCTCTATGTAACCAAGGATAATGCTGAACACCTGATCCGCCTGTCAGTCCCTCTCAAGTGCTGGAATTACAGGCATGCATAATCACACCCATCCAACCAAATGTTTTTCTGACATGCTGATACCTACACAAATACCACAAATCAGATTGAGCTAGATTTTCAAAAAAGGAATTCAGGGTGCTGGGCATGGTGGCACATACCTTGTTGTCCTAGCTACTGATAAGACTGAAACAGGAGGATCACTTAAGGTCAGGAGTTTGAGACTAGAATAGGTAACAGAGTAAGACCTCATCTGTGTGTGTGTGTGTGTGTGTGTGTGTGTGTGTGTTTGTGTGTGTGTACATGTATGGTGCATCCACAAGAGTATGTAGGTGCACATGACCATGCATAGGCCAGAGTAGGGTATCAGGGTATCTTCCTCTATTGTTCTCTGCCTTACTGCCTTGAGACAGGGTCTTTCACTGAACTGGAAGCTTGATATTTTGGCTAGGCTGGCTGGCTCCCCCCCTCGCCCCACCCCCCCAAAAAAGGCAGGAGCAGCCATGCTCAGCTTTCTATGTACGTGCAAGGGATTTAAACGCAGGTCCTCAAGCTTGTAGAGCAAGGGCTCTTACTAACTAAGCCATCTCCCCAGCCCCATAAGACCTCATTGAAAAACAAAAAAACCAAAAATCTAATTCTGGGCATGAGGCCATCTTATATTAGTATCAATCTGACAAGGTACCCACTAAGAGCAGGAGTTTCTAACCTCTTTCTGAACAAGGGCTAGCTTTCCCCTTTCAAGCTTTTTAGCTAGGAAAGAGCAAGGAGCAGGGTAGGGCTGACAGTGAAGTTCTGGGTGGGGTGAGGACCTAAAGACCTCTTCCACTGTCACTAGAGTGTGAGTGAGGGAGGAGGGGAGTCTTCCTGTTAACGTTTTGCTTGGTCAAAATCAAAGCTGATATGCTAAAGAAGCCTATCAGAAACAGAAGCCCTATAAAAGTACAGTATTTTATGAAACTCAGCAGAGTGTTAGGAAGTTATGCTCCCAAATGATAAAATTCAAGCTTCTAAAAACAGATATGCAGAGTCATCCTTTAAAAATGCAGGCCAGATCACTCCCTGCCTCTGCTCAAACTCCCCCTCGTTGTTCTCAGAATCAGAAAGGATAACTTCTTCTGGAAGGACCCAACCATCCCTTCTCTTCACTTCCTACTCTTTTCCTGGCTTGAACCTTCCCAGTCCCTGGCCCCCTCGCTGCTGATCATATAGCCTTGCCCAGACCATGCCAAGCACTTTACCAGCAAACCTCTTGCTCAAGCCTCCCTTTCACCAAGGCTTTGATCAAACGCTACTTACTCATTTACACCTGACCATCCTCCCTTCCATCACTTCCAGGTCTTCTTAATCCTTTGCCTGATCTGTGTTTCTCAACAGCACTTTTTTTTTTTTTTCCTGGTGCTGGAAATTGAATCCAGGGCCTTGTACAAGCTAAGCAAGTGCTCTATCACGTTGGGTGTCTTCTTCAAAAGCTCTCTACCTTTATTTTTTCCTATAAATTTATTATCATTGTGTGTATGTGTATATGATGTATGTGTATGTGAGGCAGGTGTGTGTATGCCATAGCATGTGTGTGGAGGTCAGAGGACAACTTTCAGGAGTTGGTTTTATACTTCTACTATGGGTTATGAGAATCAAATGCAGGTCATCAGGCTGTGCAGCAAGCACTTTTACCTATTAAGCCATCTTGCGGGCCGCCACCTTTTATTTTTTTAGATAGGGTCTCTAACTGAACCAAGTGACTGGTCAGCAGGCCCCAGGCCTCATCTTGTCTTTACCTCCCCAGCACTGGGATTTTTATGTAGGTTCTAGGGACTAAACTCAGATGTCATACTTGTGTAGGAAACACTTTACTGACTGAGCCATCTCTCTCAGTTCCACTTTTGAGTACTTTAATAGGCACTTTAAGGGTTTCTTTTAGAAACTAGTGTTGAGGGTCTAGAGGTATAGCTCAGTGCTACAGGCCTTGTGTAGCATGCACAAAGCCCTGGCTGCTATCTCTAACATCATAATGCAATAGAAATACAAGGCAGGTATACTGATGTGAAAGCTAAATGGTACCGTCCCTGTGGCAATCAGACTGGAAATTCCTCAAAAAGTTAAACAGAGTTAATCCTATGTTCTGATAATTCAACTCCTGGACTATATATGAATGAGAAATAAAAAACTATTCCCACATAAAACTTATACATAAATACTCATGGCAGCCTTATTTAGAAGAGCCCAAAATTACAAATAACTCAAATGTCCATCAACAAATGAATGAATAAGATATGGTACATGCACACCATGGAACATTATTTGGCAATAAAAAGAATAAGTCAGATGTGTGGTTCATGTCTATAACAGTACTTGGGAGACTGAAGCAAGATCTTGAGTTTAAGGCTAGTCTGGGCTACATAATGAATTCCAGGCCAATTTGGGCACTACAGAAAGACCCTGTCTCAAAAAAAAAGGGGGGGGGGGCTGGAGAGATAGCTCAGTGGTTAAGAGCATTTACTGCTCTTGCAGAGTACCCAGGTTTGGTTCCCAGCAGCTAACAACCATCTGAAATGCCAGCTCCAGGAAATCTGACACCCTGTTCTGGTATCCAGAGGCAATGCATGGCATGAGTGCACTTAAACATATACAGGCAAAACACTCATACACATAAAAATAAAATAAAAATGTCAGACATAAAGATCACATATCACATGATTTCAATTACATATATGAAATGTCTAGAACAGGCAAATGTATGGGGACAGAAAGTACATCAGTGGTTGTTTATGGGTGGGATAGGGAGGAAGATGTTCAGGAGAAATGTAGAATGATCAGCATGGAGTTTCTTTGAGGGATGATGAAAAGGTTCTACAAGTTCTAAAAGTTCTAAAACTTACCATGGTGACAGTTACATGACAGTATCAGTACATTTAAGCAGACTGTGAGGGCTTGAGATGATGGCTATGCTGTTAAGAGCATGTACTGCTCTTGCACAGGACTTGAGTTTGGTCCCCAGTGCCCACTTAAGCAGCCCACAGCCTCTTGCAACCCATGGGATTTGACACTCTCTTCTAGCCTCTGCAGGCACCAGCACATACCCACATACAGACATACATATATATATATACATACATACATACACACACATATGGTTAAAAAAATAAATCTTCGATGCGTGCTTCAAAGGGTGGAGTTATATGGCATGAGAGTCAGCATGGAAAGCTCACCTGTCACTGATTTTGTAGTCTTCATTAACACTCACAGCTTTGTACTTCATGCTGCCTTTGGTCCGCTCCAATTCCCAACACCAGTCTTCAGGTGTGTCAAACATTACTGTATGGTTCCTGGACTCAGTGGCTTAAAAAAAAAAAATCAGCATGACAATGAAGTCTTTTTATGACACTGCCACTTTGTGTATGTGGAAATGCATGCTCAGAACCTGATTTCCTTCATTTAGACACTTTTTTTTTTTCCTTTGGTCGAGACAGGGTCTCTCTGTAGCTCCAGCTGTCCTGGAACTCACTTTGTAGACCAGGCTGGCCTTGAACTCACAGAGATCCACCTGCCTCTGCCTCCCCAACACTGGGATTGAAGGTGTGTGCCACCACACCCGGCCATTTAGACACTTTTATCCAAGCAGAGAGAATTCATGGCCTTCACTGTTCCTTTTTGGTCATTAGTCCAAAAATTATAACTGAAATATTTAATTTTTTTGTGGGGCAGAGCAATGTATGCCTTTAATTTACAGCACTTGGGAGGCAGAGGCAGGCAGATCTCTGTGAGATCAAGGCCAGCCTGATCTACATAGTGAGTTCTAGGTCCAGCAGGGGCTACAGGGGGATCTCAAAAAAATATTTTTATTACATTTATTCTGTGTGTGTATAGGTGTATCCATGTCATGATGTGCATGTCATAGTGTGTGTGTGTAGTGGTCAGAGACAACTTACAGAGTGAATGAGTGCTCTCCTTCTACCATGTAAGTCCTTGGGATTGAACTAAAGTTGAGCTTGGAGGCAAGCATTTTTATCTGCTGAGACATTTAATTGGCCCAAGATTGTCTTTTTATATTGTAGGAAAAGAGGTTTTTTTAAAAGGCTTATTTTAATTAGTTTATGTATATGTGTATATGTGCCTGTGGAGTCCAGAAGATGTGCTGGATCCCCTGAATGAAGCTGGAGTTATAGGCCATTATGAGCTACCTGATGTGGGTGTTGGGATCCGAACTGGGGTCCTTTGCAAGAGCAGCAAGTAGTCTTAACCACCAAGCCATGTCTCCAGCCTCAAAAGGTTGTTCTTGTTCCATTTCTTGCAAAAGTAATTCATAGCTCCATTTTTAGTCATCTAACCATAAGATAATTTATATAAAACAAAAATCGTGTGAAGCACTAAAAGATGGGCTTGGCACAAATGCTAAGAAATGAAGTATTTTTAGTCCTGTCATATGTGTATAACATGGCACACTGATGAGAAAAGCATGTCAGATTCTGGGATGTAAATCCTTCTTCAGCTTTTGAGGTACTGCCTGTAAGAGGCCTGTCCAAGATGGCATTTGGCTACTGAAAGCCACGAACAGATCGGAGTCACAGGGAGGGGAGGGGCCAAGGGCTGCATCATGGTAACGGGAACCTTGGCTCCTAAATCAGTACAGTTAGAGAACAAAATGTCCAGAAGCACTGCTCTTGTGGCCCAGCACAAGTGTCCCTGGGTCCTTCTCTAAGCCATCATTGCTTGCTGGAGGTAACATACACATCTAAAAACTCAAGCCTACTGAAAAAAGCAATGTTTGCTATAACTACCCCACCTGCTTCTTTTAAATAAGACAAGATGTGGTTAAAAAAAAGATGAAAAAAAAATCAACGTTTATGTAAGCTGAACATTACTGATCTAAAAAATGTAAAATCTGAAATCTCCTGCTAATGTGACATCACAAGTAGAAAATTTCACATTTGACCCCATGTGACAGTCAAAACACAGGTACTTTAAAGATACTGTAGGGCTACAGATGACTTAACGGTTAAGAGCATTAACTGGCCAGGCATGGTAGCGCATGCTTTTAATCCCAGCACTTCGGAGGCAGAGGCAGGCATATCTCTGTGAGTTCAAGGCCAGCCTGGTCTACATAGTGAGTTCCAGGCCAGCTGGGGCTACAGAGAGACACTGCTTCAAAAAGACCAAATAAAACAAACAAAAAAAAAAACCCATAGACAAATAGTCTATATATCTAGCCTAAAAACACCAAGCTGGGGAGATAGCTCACTTGGCAAAGTACTTATCTTTTAATCATGAAGACATGAATTTGATCTTTAGAACCTATGTCAAAAAAATTGGGGTGTGTTGGGGCATACTTGTATTCTGAACATTGGAGAGGCAGACAGGTGGGTCCCAATTTTAATACACTTGTGTTAACAAAACCCATACTCAATGAAAACACTAATCAACCAATTAGCACACCTATCAGTTCAAACCTTTACTAACACTGCCCCAGTCCCATCAATGGAGGTTAGAAGAAAGAGAGGAGGATGGAACCACAATAAAAATGGAGTATGATTTTTCAAATATGAACCCAAGAGATGCTTATATATAATTAGTCAATGATAAGTCACACTTGTAGATCTTCTTATCCTGCCAAAAGCTGCAAAATAGCACCCAGGTCAAAATTGGGATTAAAAAGAGACTGAAGTTCTAAAAACAGAGTATGATTTCTCAAGTATGAACCCAATAGATGTTTATATAAACCACAGCAATCAATAAAGAAGCCATGCTTATGTATCTAATATTGCCACAAGCCGTAAGTTACAGTATAAACTTGTCATTCACAAAGATGAACTAACTGAATTAGGGGACAAATTTCATGTTTAGCCTAATAACATTAACGTAAAATGCAATTCTCTGACCATAATCTGGAGGATAGGCACTTTTTTTTTCTTTTCTGAGACAGGATCTTACTATGAAGCCCTGGCTGGTGTGGAACTTGCTGTATAGACCAGGCTGGCACTGAACTAATAGAAATGTGCCTGCCTCTGCCTCCCAAAAAATGAGATTACAGGTGTGTGACACCATGCCCAGCTAACATGTACTTTTATTCTCGATTAACTCTCCTTTAATGACTGCATCCAACATGCCATGAATTTAACACTTTATAATCTTCACAAGACTCTAAGGCATTTAGAATTCCAAATAGACATGACCAAAGAATCTCTCCATGACATACGGTCGATATGTCAAAAATTCAAAGCAGAGGGGCTAGAGCGATGGCTCAGTGGTTAAGAGCACTGGCTGTTCTTGCAGAGGCCCAGGTTCAGTTCCCAGCACCCACATGGCAGCTGGCAACTGTCTGTAGCTCCAGTTTCAAAGGATCCCAGTGGCCCCTTCTGACTCCACGGGCATTGTACAACATGAGTACACTTAAAATACATGCAGGCAATACACTAATAAAATAAAAATAATGAATTTAAACAATGCAAAGCAAAGTGGGCAAAGGGCCTGGTATACAAGCTCAAGTACCTGAGTTCAGATCTCCAGCACCTATATAAAAGTGGAGTGGAGTGGTACACAGCTGAACACCGGCACTGGGAGCAAGAGAGGACAAGCAAAGACAGGTGGATCCCTAGAGATTACTGGCCAGCTGGCCTAGCTGAATAAGTGAGTTCTGGGTTCAGTGAGAGACAATGTATCCAAAAAAAAGTGGAGGAACTGGAGAGATGGCTGCTCTTGCAGAAGACCTGGGTTTGATTCCCAGCATCCACATGGTGACTAACAACTCATACACATAAAATAAAAATAAAGTAGAGAATGATTGTGGAAGATATCCAATGTCAAACTCTGGCTTCCACATGCTTGTACACCTTACCCACATGAATACATACAGATTAATACACACACACACTCACACAAACACACCAGAAAGCAGACAGGAGTTGTGGTTTATATCTATAATCCCAATTTAGGAGATTGAAGCAGAATCACCCATTAGTTTGAGGCTACCTTGCGATATACTGTGAGTTCGAGGCCAGGCCAGGCCAGGATAAAGTGAGATCATGTCCACATACATACACACATACATATATATATATATATGTGTGTTTGTGTGTGTGTGTGTATATATAATGTTTACAGACATATATAAATACATGCAATCACAGAAGGAAACATTATTTAAAGTTCTAAGGGAAGGGTGCACTTACATACATGTAGGCAATACTCTCATACACATAAAATAAAAATAATAAACATTTTTTGAAAAGATGGACTGTTATTTGGAAGTATAAGATGCAATAAACCCTTTCCTCCTCAAGTTGTTTTTGCTCAGAGTGCTTACCTCTGCCTCCCAAGTGCTGAGATTAAAGGCATGCGCCACCACACCCGGCGTGTAAAATACATTTTTTAAAAAACTCCACGGGGGTGGGGGTGGGGTTGGGGGTGGAAAGGCTCAACGGTTAAGAACATTGGCTGTTCTTGTAGAAGATCCCAGTTCGAATCCCAGTACCCACATGGCAGCTAACAAATGTCCATAACTCCAGTTCCAGGGGATCCAACAGCCTCTTTTGTCCTCCGTGGGCACTGTATAACACAGATGCAGTTACCTACATGCAAGCAATACACGCATACACATAAAATCAAATAAAAATATAATAAAGTATTTTTTTAAAAAAAAAGCTCCACAGGGAAAAGGCCAATTCTCCTACAAAGGCAAGTCATCAGAATAACACCAGCAACTCTAAAATCCAGGAAAGTGTGGAATACTATACTTCAAGTCCTGAAAGTAATAATTACCAATCAAAATTGCTATACACAGCAAAGCTATCCTTTAAAATTGATTTAGAAATAAGGACATTTCAAGACAAGAAGAAACAAGGGCAGTTTGTGACCACACAGCCAGCACTGAAGAAAATACAGAAATATTTCACTATACCGGAAGAGGAAAAGAGTCACAATCATGAGAGCACAGGAAAGACATTTCATTACAGTAATACATAAACAATGGAGAGCTAAGAGGGAATCCATCATATCCAACACAGTAAACCAGCAAACTCCCAATACTAATAGCAAGGAAACAAAACAAAACACCAAATAGTAATCCACCCAAACAGAACAACCAACAAAATCAGAAGAATTAGTAAATATTTCCCAATAATAACCTTAAATATTGTAAATGGCCTTAACTCACCAATAAAAAGATGTAGACTGGCTGACTATATTAAAAGACCAAATCCAGGGATCTGGAGAAATGATTCTCCAGAAACACAGGTTCAATTCCCAGACCCCACATAGAGGCTAATAACTGTCCATAATTCCAGTTCCAGGAGATCTAACACCTGCTTCTGACCTCTGCAGGCACTGCATGACACAAGTACACTTAAACACATGCAGGCAATACACTCATACACATTCCAGGGCTTGGAAAAATTGCCCAGCATTTAAGAGCTGAGGACTCAAATTTGTTCCCAGTACCCACACTCAGCCACTGACAATTTCCTATAACTCCGGCATTCTGACACTGTAGGCCTCCATGGACACCTGTATGCACATGCACATACCCATAAACATAATTAAAAATAATAAAAATAAAGCTGGGTGTGGTGGTGCACGCCTTCAATCCCAGCACTCTGGAGGCAGAGGCAGGCGGATCTCTTTGAGTTCAAGGCCAGCCTGGTCTACAAAGC